GGCAGGGTCACAGATCCGGGTCCCGGGACCGCAGACAGCCTCCCGCGCTGCCCGCCGCCTGGTAGGGTCACAGATCCGGGTCCCAGACCGCAGACAGCCTTGCCTGCTGCCGCCTGCCTTCAGTATGCAAATTAGCCGCCATCTTGTTGCTTCAGGGTGGGGGTCCCCACTGGGGTGCCTGGCCAGTCTGGGTGAGGGGCTGAGGGCCGTTTTCAGGCTGGCGGGCGACTGAAGCTCCAAACCTCTCCTTTTTTTCTTTTTTTTTTTATTCTGGCATTTATTTACCTTCTATGGCTGTCACTGGAGCTGAGAGCCGGCTTTCTCTCTGAGGCTCGGCTGCTGAAAGCAGGTTTCTGGCCTTTGTTTTCTGTATTTGAAACAATGTTGCGACTCCAGCTCTGAGATCCCGGCTGACTGACAGGAGGTTTCTGGGGTTTTGTTTATCTTCTATAAATGTTACAATGTTTCCAACTGAAGCTCAGAGGCCGGCAAGGCAGGCGGGGGAACGTTGGAGTCCTCTGTCACTGAAGGAAGCAAGCCTCCCTGTTCGCATCAGCTGCCTGGCTACCGGCCGCCATCTTGGCTGACAGTTAATTTGCATATCTCCCTGATTAGCCAATGGGAAGGGTAGCGGTTGTACGCTAATTACCATGTTTCTCTTTTATTAGTGTAGATGCTGGAATTGTTAGGGCCGGGATTACTAAACAAAGAATTGAAATGTGTGCAAAAACCTTTAGTAAAATGTAAAGCACTATGGAAGCACCAGTTAATAGTTATTACAAAGATGGTTGGTTGTACTTCCATGCCCCAGTCTTTTTTTTTTTTTTCCATGTTTTTCTTTTTATTTATTTTTTATTTTTATTTATTTATTTATTTATTTATTTATTTATTTTATTGGTTAAAGTATTACAAAGGGTATTACATATGTGTCCTTTTTTTTTCCCCCCACCCTTGACAATCCCCTGGCCTCCCCTACCCCGCAGTGTCTTATGTCCATTGGTTATGCTTATATGCATGCATACAAGTCCTTCGGTTGATCTCTTACCCCCCTCCCTCCTGCCCCCCAACCCTCCCCGGCCTTCCCGCTGCAGTTTGACAATCTGTTTGAGGCAGCTCTGCCTCTGTATCTATTATTGTTCAAAAGTTTGTAATGGGCTTTATTATCCATGAATGAGTGAGATCATGTGGTATTTTTCCTTCATTGACTGGCTTATTTCACTTAGCATAATGCTCTCCAGTTCCATCCATGCCGTATGCCCCAGTCTTAAAAATAAAGATATCTGACATTAGTCCTAGCTTCTTCCTCTAAAAACTGCAATAGGTTGTGACAGTTCACTGAATCTTTTGTAAATGATTCCTTCTTAAATTCTCACCAGTGGTTCACAAGATGACAATTTGACTTATAATTCAAATAATATTTTCCTGGGAGAAATATTATCCAGAAATTATCTTAATAAATAGTTGGAAAAAACTCTGCAGAACTAGAAAACAAAATGTGGGCACATCTAAAGTGAGCCAGGGACTATATATTCTTTTAACTTTAAATGATGACGCCTGTGGTAAGTGATTGCCCAAGTTATAATGAGTTCAACAAGCTCATTCTTGTGTGCTTTTTAAAGCCAAATTCATGTTTGAATAGTAATAGGGATCCTTTCTGGTAAATTGAATGTGCTGGGTGGACATGATGCAAGCGATAACCTATCTTGACTTAAACAGCTTTTTAAGGTATAGAAAATATGAGCAACTGAAATTCCAGAGAGAAAGTCACGGCAACTCTGCAGAACATATTTATAAATTGTTCACAACAACTGGGGCAAGTAAAAGTTTATGAGAAACTCCTTATAGTCACAATATGTACTAACATTAATTGCAAGTTTTGGCCTTTTAAACAGCACTTTAATAATAATAACTAGATTAACAGTGAGAAAATTTTGAATGTTGTGTTAAGTTTTAAAATTTCTATTCATTAAATGTACCAACCTAAATATTTTAATTTTATCTCAATGGAAATTTTATTATATTATTATTGTTGTTGTTGTTATTATTATTGTGTTTTCCTGGTCCTCTCTAGTCTACTCATTGGGACACAAATTTAAGCAATGTAGTTCCCATAACTTAGCCCATTTTTATTCAGAAAAATATTAAATGGCAGAATAGCATAATGATAAATGTTATACAATTAAAAATAATTATTTGTGCAGAACTTGTAATAGTAAAACTAGATAGCAAAAACTAAAATGGAATATGAAACCTCTGTTTTTACACAAATGAAATTGTTCTCCCATGCCACTAAATGACAAAATATCTTGATTTGCAATGAAACCCAGTTTGTACTGAAAGGCAGTGCAACTGGCAGGAATATTTCTTTTATTAACAGGTTATGCTGTTTCCTGGTTTGCAAATATCAAAACTCCCTTTATTGGAATCTGATAGAGGTTGCTAGGAGTATTGGAGCAGGTACAAGTCTCTTTACACCAATGGGGCCTTTCCTGACGTCAGATTCTTTTTTTATTGTTTTAAGCACTTTTACTTTCCCGATTATGCCCACAGGTAACAGGAAATAAGGGTTTCAAAGGAAAACTTGATCATGTTGGGAGATAACACAGGTATCCTCACCCAGTGTGTGAGCGCCTTGAGGCTCTAAGTCGCTGCCAGGAGTACATATTTTTTTGATTGGTAACTGCCAGATGACGCTTCATCAAATATAAATGCAAGAAAGACTCCGAGAGCTCCATAAAAGCCTTCCACCATCGGGAGGAGAGGAGCAGATACTGTCAACAAGGACAGGCGATGGCTTTCAGTGTTTCAGTGTCAGTCTACCTCTTATTCAATGGTAGGTGATTTCTTCTTCTTTTGTTCACTTGGTGTCAGTGTAAAATGTGAAAAGGATTTGTTTTCTCTGAATTAGGGAGAAGTTGGCTTTTCGGAGTTGTTCTTCATGACAAAGATTAGAGCAAGGAATCTGAATTAATTTAGTTTCTTATGTAATGTGTGTTCCTCTCCTAATACATATTTGAAACCTTTAAATATTTGCTTTGTAAAACTGAAAAGAGGTTAATACATTTTAACTATTATATGACAGCATCCTTGTGATTAAATCAGTATATAAATGTATACACTTTCTCTTAAATATTAACGTGTCCCTATTTTCTATAATTATAATATAGTCAGTAGCCGGGATATGGAAGAGAAACTGTCAGGAAGTTGCCCTACTTAGGTGATGGATCTCAAATGTAAATGTATTCAAAATAAAACATAAAGGAAATAAATAGAATAACTTTCAATCTGTTGCTTATACATAGAAGGGGCTCACCTGCTAAAGATACCTTTCCCCCCTTCATACAGCAATGGCAGCATTAAGTGAAGAGGTGGCCTTGAACTTGACGCTCGCAATCACAACCCAACCAAGTAATTGGACAGTTAACAAAACAAAAGGTATTTTCTTTGCATTTTTGTATTTCAAGGGACTTCCTCATTTTTGAGAGAATTTGGATTGTGATAAGAGCAGCATTGGAAAATGTTTAATATATAATTTATGATTAGATAATCAACTCTTAGCATGATGATGTTAAATGGAAGTGACAGGTAAATGTGACTGAAAAGAATTAACTTTCTAAAAGGAGGAAGTGAGGGAATTAAAGAAATGTCTCCAGTTACTTTTCCTGAATGTTAATTTAAACATGCCGCATTTTCTGCTTGATTCATGCTTGGTTCCCTGTAACTCACACGTGTCCAGGGGCAATTTGTCACCATTTTGGCATTATATTTTGATCTGTGACTATGGGCTTTGCAGCCAAAGAAATTATGGCTACAAAATGAAATCTTAATTCATGTCCCCTATCTTTAGAAATATTTTTTCCTGTTTCTTTTGAGGGGCTTTTGTTGTTGTTTTCACATCGGCTATATTTTCTAACTCCTCTACCCACTTTCTTTTCTTTCCTATCTTATTATTATTATTATTTGAATAGCTTCCCACTGCTGTTGAGCATCAGCATATTTTCAAACCTGTTTGAACTCTTAGAGGTGAACTTGGAAAGCTTGTAACCTGCCAAGACCTGTGTACTGCATGGTTATGATTGTCACACAAATCACATACTGCCCCCTGATGTGGGGATCAGTGATGTGACACAGGACAGAGGAAATGCCATATCATGCTCTCAGAGCCAGGCAAATAAAAAAGATTAAGGCAAATATTTTGTTTCTGAATATGAGGTAGTAATAATTAAGAATTCATTTCACCAATAATTTTAAATTTAAAAATGTATTTGAAATATTTTTGCCGATTTGAGTTTTAAAAAATTTATCTTTATTGTTGAAAGCATTACAGATGTTCCCCTTCCACCCCACCACCCATTAACTCTCTCTACCCTGCTCCCACACATTTGAACTTGTAAATACCTATTAATCTGCAAACCAAAATAAGTGTAGGGCTTAGAATGACTTTTATATCTCCCTGTCTTCTGAACTTTTGAACAAAAAGGGAAGGAAATATGTTTAGTAGAAAATAATACTGCAGAAAAGTAAAATATGGCTTCTCTCTATGACTGAGTTCATAACATTATGCCCAGACCACTATTTTCTTTCTTTTTTATATATATATATTTTATTGATTTTAGAGAGGAAGGGAGAGGGAGAGAGAGATAGAAACATCAATGATGAGAGAGAATCACTGATTGGCTGCCTCCTGCACGCCCCCTACTGGGGATCGAGCCCGCAACCCAGGCATGTGCCCTTGGCCGGAATCGAACCTGGGACCCTTCAGTCCGCAGGCTGACGCTCTAGCCATTGAGCCAAACCAGCTAGGGCACTATTTTCTTTCTTAATAGGGAACTGCAAGTAAAATTCTCCAAGTTACAGGTAATAACAATGGAAAATGAATATATCTCTATCATTTTCCCTTGCTTTCTTGATGGAGAACTTTAGTTTTTCCTTGCTTTTTACTTGACTTAAAAACCTGAATCCAGATTTTTATAGGAAAGATGAATCTCTCTAGTATACCCTTTCTTTGGAAATGTCTTCTCTCAGGTCTCACATTTTCTAGCAAATCTTAATTCAGGCCCTAGGAAGAACCTAGCCCAGTTTATAATGCAAAATTCTCACTGCTTCAGAATTAATTATTAAAATGAGAAAATAGATTCATGACTCCACATGAATGTGAATCTTAAGATAATATTGTGTGTTCTCAACCAAAAGGAAGTTCTACAAGACGGGATCTTGTTGGTGTCTTAGTACTTAAAAATTTAGTATTTTCATTATCAAAAAAAAGTCTGCCTTTTTAGATCTGAACAAATAAATAGGAGTGTCTTAATCTGCTTGGCAAGACAAATATTGTGTAACATAACTAAGGATGCAGAGATATTCATGACATATTTATTCATAACAATGACAAACTAAAATGCCACTAAATCTACTGGAGAAAAATTTAAGAATCAGCAATGAAAGTATAGCAAAGAGGACTCAGTTCTACAGTTTTACCACTGTGCGTCCCACTTCATAAACCCCAGGGATTATATAGGCGTATGTCCTGAGTACATCAGGAATGAAGAGTAAGCGTCCTAAAGGAGATACATTTTGCCACATCACAGCTTCCCCCAGGGGGCTTCCCATAAAGAAGCTTCTGGACACGTGGCCACAAAAGTTCTGTCAAGTGTGGTCACTTGCACAGTATAAGAGTTAGAAATCAAAACCCAGGTTTTTAAGTTCTAACTCCAAGGCTTTTCCCACTATTTCATAATGTTTCTTAAGTGAATAAAATATCTAAATGATATTTCAAAGTATGGTCTTAACTATGTTAAGCCTGGGCCATAAGTTGTTTCTGGCTTCTTGTGTAGGTCATAACCATACCTCTTCTGTAATCAGTTAGGGAAAATATTCCCTTTTCAGTTAGCCACTCATGGCAGTCCACATAAGAGGGAGTGCTCATCTCATGCTCCTCTGGGAAAAGAGAAATCAAGTTCATTATCTCACAGTTATAAGCCCAAATCTTTCTAAGTGCTGCCTTCTTAGGTGTAAAGGAGAGAATGAGAAAATTGTGTGAGATCTTTTATACTTATTAGCATTCAGGCACACATTTGGGAAGCCTTGCTCTAGAAAGCTGCTAAAACTAGATTTGATGCTGCCACCTTTTGGCAAACTTGTATCTATCCCTTATTATGTGGCTTCTAAAGGATGGAATTTACCTCCATCCCCTAATTAATGAATGATATGTCTAGGTCAGTGGTCGGCAAACTGCGGCTCGCGAGCCACATGCGGCTCTTTGGCCCCTTGAGTGTGGCCACGAAGTTTCAATCGCACTGTACGTGTGCTCCCGCACGTGGTATTTTGTGGAAGAGCCACACTCAAGGGGCCGCAGTTTGCCGACCACTGACTCTAGCTGATATTAACCTAAGTTTTGTGACTATAACCTGCCAAGGGAACCAATCAATAGTTCAGTGGACAGAGCACCCAAAGAATATTAAAATTAAAGGTCTCTTTAACACGTTATAAAACTACTATAAAAATATGACCTACTTCATCTGTTAATATTGTTTCTCCTTTTTCCTATCCGAAGGCACAGAAGGACCCATAGCCTTGAAGTTCTCACACCCTTGCCTGGAACACCATGATAGTTACTGCATCAATGGTGTTTGTGCCTTCCATCGTGAGTTGAAGAAAGCCATCTGCAGGTAATTTGCAAAGAACTGCCCAAGTCCTGGACACAGGAGGAGGAGAATTTATGCCTCTGGTGCTTCACACAGTATATTTCCCACACCTCTATCTTATGGGGCTAAAAGAGCACATGATCTGATCGTGACTCACCAATCCTCTTTGTAGTTGGATATCTAAGGAGTCTGTTTCTAAGCTACCTAATCCTCATTACTCAAAAATATGGTTCCCAGATTAGCAGCATCTGTGAACCTGGGAGCTTGTTAGGAATGCAGAAGCTTATGCTCCACCTCAAAACTATTGAATCCATATAAGCATTTTAGCCTCATGCAAATGTGATTAGGATGAAATGAAATAGGGTATGGTAAAAACACTTGGAGAATAGAGAGTTCTAGAGCAACTAAAATACTATTTTGATGATCATTGATTTGCTCAGCATCTTCCTATATAAGAGAAAATAATTTTCTAGATCAAGGCATAAAGCTCACGTACTATCTTCACTTCGTCAATGAGAAAAGGTACATTGATATGCGGTCTTAATGAAATGATTATTGTAAAATACATAGCTTCTTCAGTACTTGTAACAGGTTGGCTTTCATTTAGTATTTGCATCTTCATTATTTGAAACTGGTCTTTTCTTTGTATTTCTGTCATTGTGAATCTTAAAATTATTCATTCTTTTCTTTTTGTAAAGGTGTTTTACTGGTTATACTGGAGAAAGGTGTGAGCATTTGACCTTAACTTCATATGCTGTAAATTCTTATGAAAAATACATTGCAATTTGGATTGGCGTCGGAGTATTATTAAGTGGTTTTCTTGCTATTTTTTACTGCTACATAAGAACGAGGTATGGAAAAAAAACACAAAATATGAAATCAGTGGGTACTCGTTCATTTGAACAATATTTATTGAGCCCCTACAATGTACTAGGAATTGTCATGTTTAATTTTTTTTAGTGAAAATATGGCTGCAAATCTGGCAAGTTCCTACATATTTGTTTTGATACCTTTCCTCATAAACCCAGATTAGCAGTAAAAATTTACTTGCAGTTGCAATAGGATAGCTCCAATTTACAACTTCCCTCCATCCTTGCTTCTGTCTGCCTACATCAAAGTTACAAATGAAGAGGCCAGTAAGCCCCACAAGGGTATTGAAAAGTGTGTCTTATTCAAAATTATATATTTAGTGCCAAATACGGTGCCTGGCACACAATAGGCACTCTGTATATATTTGTTGAATGAAGAAATCAAGAAATGAATATTAAATGAATAAAAAGTGTAGCAAACATGGGCCATTTACTTCCAAACAATCAATTGAAGGTATATTCAGAAGATATTATCTACTGCTAGAAGCTTAAGAAGATAAGCTGGATCCACTAAGTATAAGTTACTTGTGTATTAATTCTTATTTCTAGTGTATCCACACTGGTAATTTTTTCCCTTAAATTCATGTAGCTAGGGAAACTCAAGAAATAATGTGAGCTAAATTAAAGAAAAAAGTATAAACACATTTCCCTGGCATACTCTATTAACTAAGTTTTCATTTTAAAAATGATCAAGACTGACTATCAAAATAAGAAAAATTTTGGTTGCTTAATAATTGTATCTTAGAGAAAATAAAATGTTATATCAATTGTAGAACAATTCATATAAAATATGTTATATCAACTGATTTATTATGCCAATTGCCTAAGGAACCAAAAAGAGGGGGGGGAAAGAAAGTAGACCTTTTAATGTTAATAATACCGCTGTCTGAGGTCAGGTTTCCTAGAAGCAGAACACAAAATGGGGATTCCTGTGCAAGTGATTGGTCAAGGCATGCCCTAAAGTAGGACCTATAAGGCAGTAAGGAAAGCTAGAGCAGAGGAAGAAGGTAAGCAAAGATGTGGTATTAGCTAAAGTAGAGTCTCAGCCTGACTCCACAGGATAATCTCAAATGTGAAGGGCATTATAGACCAATCCCAAGAAGGTGAGGGATCTTGGTTTTAGTACCCTGTGTCATCAGCATGGGTGGCAGGATGCTCCTGGCAAGGGTAGTGGGCACAGACCAGGAGTCTCCCAGGAATTCAGGCAAAGTTCTCTGTGGGCCCAGGGGATCCTCTGGAGAAGGATACTGTTCTGAGTCTGTTAACACCCATAACTGCCGGGGATGGATCTACCAATGGGTAAAAGGGATCTGGGTGGGGCACCAGCAACAATGGCTACCCCAGAACATTTATATAATCTGCAATAAGGTATACTAACAGCATTCACATTCTTATGAAAATCAATACTCTGTTTTAGGTGTCTAAAACTGAAATCACCTTATAAGGTCTGTTCCAGAGGAAGACCACTGTGAGGCCTGTGTAAGAAATTTTCCTGAGGCATTTGTAAAGATCAGTGGACCCCACATTGACATCTTCAAATGAAACAACTAAACTTCCCAAGCTGACTAGACTTGAACGTGACGGAAGTTGGGATCATGATGAAATGAGAGAATACATCTCAACAGAAATCACTAGACTTTGTCATTGTTAGGATACCAAGAGAGCCAATGGAGCAAGCTTACAGTGACAGAAGTCAAGTTCATAGTACTACTCTGGGCCTGTTGCTGCTGTTGTGTGGTTATTGTTCTTACTGCAGAGAGTCTGAGTGCCATGCATCTGACTGTGTCAGATGTGAGTTTTCATGAGAAGGATTATCAACCTTGCAACAAGTCAAAGCAATACCAAGCTTGGGCTCTTCATGTACTAGCTACCAGTATTTTGGATCACTGCTCAATGGACCTAATCCCAAACATGCTGCTCTCATAAGGTCTAAAAGAATGTGATGTCAACTGTTAGGATAAGGTCAGTGCTGTGGCACCTTCAGTGATCCAAACAAGTGCCTGGAGTCTAAGCCAGAGACAAGAAAATGGAAGGTCCAAGGCCAAATACATTATACCCAGCTTGTGAGAACATTGTGGAGCTGTTATCTGTGAAATATGGAATAAGCTAAAGAGTTTCTGATGACTGGAAGCTATGGATATCAAGCCCTGAGTAGACAAAACATCTATTTTTCTGCATGGATTATAACATGTTGTGTTGGACTCACTGGTATCCTAATGCTTATGTTTAGCACTTCCTCGTATTGTTAGTGGAATTACCTGGTGACTATTCATTTGGACTGAAATTCTAGAATTCTACTAATACATGAAATTCTACGACTGATCCTGAAAGAAAAACTAAAGAGTTGGACACAGGAATTTTTTCATCAACCAAAAGCATGTGGGAAATTTATTAACCACTTCTGAGTACTTGATAGCAGATTTGCACATAAAGTGAGAAAATGCAATAGTTATTCTAGAAATAGCTATTTGGGAATTAGGGTCCTTCCTCTTTAGTCATATTTTTTTTTCATGTAATTAGAATAATCTTGGGCAGGACCACTGATATTGTTGGGCTTTAATTTCATTTTCTACAGAGCCCTTCTAGCTCTAAAATTTGACCAGGGGAGAAGAAAGCAATTTTTCCACAACTGAAAAATTGGGATATTCTCAACCATACCTCAAATCCAAAACACACCACCGTCTATCATCTTATGTGTATATTTTAGTGTTTGTTTTGTAAAATAATAATTTAAAATTTTGCTTTTAAGTGAAGCAAACATATAATTTAAAAACAATGTCTATAACTTTTCTTTTAAATTCAATCTATAACTCTTGACTTTTTTCCATTGTAATTTTAATAAGCAAAACCATTTTGATCATGAGATGGGCTAAAAGAGGATCAATCATGAATATTCTTACCATGATTGCCTAGTAACAAGCCTTTCTCTTATATTGTTATGACTTTTCATTCACTATTAAAACTTTACATTCTGCTTTCCTTTGAGTAGAAGGTATTTCATTTGCTTTGTTTTGCCTTCACAAGGAATGTAAGGCAGGTGAATGGCGTGTCAGCACTTTCTGATTGTCCTCACAAAGTATGTAAAGGTTACCTCATACCAAGGAGTGGGGAGGTGAAGGTTCCTCCCAGTGACTCCAGGGACCACACCTAGAAAGCTATGCTCTCCCTGAGCATTTCAAAGACGTGTTAAAAAGCTGGGGAGAGTCCAGGAAGAAACAATAAAGCTTAATTAAGGACTGCCTCCTGATGAAAGAGGAGTTAATGCTGGAGTCTGGAGAGGTTATAACCTAAAAAGTTAAACATATTTGCTGTCTATAAATATTTCTAAATTATAAACACAATATAATTGAAATTAAACAACATCAGACGAAAATTAAAATGTCCAGATTGCCAAACTGAAAAGTACACCAAAACAAAAAAACAATAGAAATTCCAATTTTTTCACCTGCGGAACAGTATGCATTAACAGTATAAAATCCACCCGGTGAGACTATAGAAAGTTAGAGTGTGACTCATAAGAAGCCACCTGTTTATGTTCTGTCCTACACATGATCTTGTGACCCCATAACCCCAAGAGTTAAATTTGCAGGAAGGAACCTCTGGCATTCCTATGGAGCTAGAGCTGCCAATATTTATGTATGGAATCAGGACTTAAATTAAAAAAAAGTGAAGAAATACAAATATTTCACTTTTTATTTTTCCCATGTGCAATAAAGCCCTGAAAGAAGTCTACCAGTGAGTCCCTTGCACCCAAACCACATTTCCTCTATCCATCTATGGATCATTGGGTGGGTGGCTCCTTTAGGAAAGAAATGGAATATGTTCTGGCATTTTTTTACTAAATTAAACTTGCCAAGGGGTTCATCAATGTCTTTCATTCCCATTTTGTCTTCTTCCTGGGTCTACCCTTCAATTCTTTGAGAATACATGCTAGGACTTCAATATTCATGAGTTAGCATTTTGAAGCATGATGGTGTTATCGGTAGAAGTGGAGTTCTTGGGGTGCCAAGAGGAAAATAATTTTCTGAGGCCCCCCACAAGAGGAAGGGGTTTCATGGAAAGCTTTATTGATGATGTAAAATTAAGGGGGTCTCCTCCAAGTTTTCATCTCTGTCTCTCTCGCCCTGGAGAAGTGCAATCTTGTTTTCAGGAGGGCCAGAATTAAGGCCACTGCCCAGAATTTCTGTTCCATCTTAAAATCCAGTCCAGTCCAGTCCAGCATCTGTTTAGTTTAGCTTGTGTTCTCAGCTACAATCCACCAGGTGGTCCCATGGCCATGGGCCATGTGGCGGCTTACGGCCACATGGCTATGGAAAGAGAACAGGCGAGCGCATGGGCGAGTGTGGGTCATGGAGCTAGAGAGCAAGTGAGAACAAGCACTAGCAAGGGCACAAGAGAGAAAAAGCTTCTTTGGGGATTTTAAGCAGGAGCTTAGATTTCATGGGCTTCTGATGGGGTTCACCCTCTAGCCAACCTATTGTTCCCAAGCCAGACTGACAGACAAGCACCTTACCTGCATCACCCCAATTTCACTGCACATGTGCCCATCTTTCCCTTTGTTAGATCCCTTCCCCTAGTGATCTGCAGGAAATGGACCAGGGGTTCCCTGGGGAGAGTGAAGCTCTAGCTTCCTGGTGAAGTTGCCCAAACGACCTTGCTTATAATGTCTGGCCTCCCCTTTGCTCTCTTCCTATCTATACATATAAAAAGGCAGCTACCTTAACGGCCATAACGACCTAACAACCGGTCGCTATGAAGCCCACTGTGGCCAGCAAACTGGCCTGATCAGGGGGTGAGGCGGGCGGCCAACCTCACAGTCCCTCCCCACTGTTTATTTTTCCCATGTGCAATAAAGCCCTGAAAGAAGTTTACCAGTGAGTCTCTTGCATCCAAATTACATTTCCTCTATCCATCTATGGATCATTAGGTGGGTGGCTCCTTTAGGAAGGCCTGCCCCTGATCGGACTCTCCCACCCTGATCAAGAGCCAAATGCCCCCTTCCTCCCCCCCTTTTCCCCCTTAGCCGCTTCCCTGATCAGCCCAACCCACCTGGTTAGGCCCGCAGTCCCTCCCCCTGGACAGCCCCGCCCCTGATTGCCACCCCACATCAATAGGGGGTGGGGCTGCCCGGGCCAACCTCCTGCAGCCCCTCCCCCAGCTGGCCCCACCCCAATCAGGGGCGGGGCTGGCGGCCAACCACCCATGGCCCCTCCCCATGGCCAGCCTTGCCCCGAATCGGCCCCCTAACCCCAATCAGGGCAGGGCCTGTGGGCCAATCACCTGTGGGCCCCAATCTGGCGGGCAGCTGGCCAATCTCCTGCCATCTCCTCCTCCTAACAGGCCCAGCCCCGATCTGTCCTGGTTGGGGCCGGGGCCAGCCGGACCCCACCTGTGCACGAATTTGCACACTGGGCCTCTAGTTACTAATATTAACTAGCTAATTACAATGATAACAATGGGAGTGGGAGAAAACACTATAATTTCACTCATACTTGAGCCAGAAATTTATAAAAAGGAAATTATAGTTGCTTATTATTGTGTCTTCTTTCCCCAAATTAGTTTTTTTGAATAATTACGTTTTTCTAACATTTGAAGTGAATAAAATTATAACATAGTTTATCTTTTAGTGTTTCCCAGAACAATGCAAATCTAATCCTTTCATTTTGAAATGTCCTTTTTGGAAGATTTTTATTCACTATATGTAATTAAAAAAAAAAAGTCTTAAGAAAATCACAAGGCAAACTCCAGCAATTTAAGCTTTTGGTGTTGAACATAAAAACAATTCCTCTCTGCAGGAGATCATGAGTAAGTTATCTAACTTTTGTGAATTACAAAAATGTAACACACTCTCTGTGGTATAATGTAAATATTGATATCCTGCAGCTCACACTCACGGGGAGGGTTCCCAGAATCTCTCTATTGCAAAATGCCACTCTTTGTGGCTTACATCATGGCTGCATGACATCAGGACACTAGCATCTGCCAAGATGAACTGGAAGTGTTGAAATTTAATGTGTCAGAGTCTGGCACTGCTAATCTGGGTGAGTCCACATTTCTGTCCCAACCTTCGGCACAGCCCTATTCAGTAGCACATGCAGAAGCATATTTTCCAAATTCAGCTCTAAATGTCTGTTAATTATTCAACCAATGGATGTACAGCTCAGAGAAAATTGCTTAAGAATTCAAAGACTAGACCCCTTAAGAATATCCACCTGAATAAATGCATTCCATCATTATATTTCACTCCTCTGCCCAAAATCAACGTGATGGTTGTTCCAGATTGTGGGCAACACCCACAGCTTCCAAAGAGCCATCTCGTAAAGATTAGCAACGTGATTATATAGTAACAAGGAGGGCTGAATCGCTTAGTCAGGGCTTATCTACACACTTTATGTCCTTTCTTTGTAGTTTTTATGTCTCAGATATTATTGGGGCAAAATCATTTAGATTGAAATTAGGCGAGGATCACAGTCAAGCAAGTGTCCAACTCGCCATGCTTCTGATCTTTAAGAGGATGTTAATCAGGCCTCCCAACTTTCTGGAAAGAATAGTATCTCTAGATCTTTAAAGCCTCACAAAAATATTGACTTAATATAAAGTCCCTTCACAGATCAAGATGAAGCAATTGTATGATAGAGCTACCCTTTAAGAGCACTCACGATGTTTGAAAAGCATTATTAGCATGATTTTAATGAATCCCACGCCTGTGCATATTTGAGATGTAGAAAGGACCTGAACCATGTAGATCTGATGCCAAAGTCTCTCATCTAAACTCTATCCGATAACACTTTGCAATATTCTATGGAAAATATCAGTATTGGGAGTTAATTGCTTAATAAGCTTAGAAATATACCCAAGTGATTTATTTGCAAATGAAACAGGGTTTTTTTTTCTATAAAACATATAAAATAATAACTTTTGTCATGGATCAGCCACAAAAACTCCCTGCTGTCAGCTGCAGATTATGAAGCTATGCATACCATCCTTAGGGTGCGGCCAGAATAGGCCTGGAGTGCCTGCTGACAGTTGGCTGTACAGGCTGGGGAGAGACTGTAGACTGTAAAGTAATCCTGACTTAGCCTCCACACTCAGGGTACAATAAGGTCACTTGGGAATACTTGATCCCAGCCTGAGAACAAGGGTTCTCTGGCACTGATGCTATTGGAACCGGGACATACCTGGCTCAGTTGATGATGGGGTGAGGAGTGAGTGGTTTTCACATCCACAGTAAAATCTTATCAACTGCCTTTTCACTATAGCACCCTCAATCTTACCCCTAGCTTCACAAACACCTGAAAGCAAAACAGTCACCTTCAATCTTACCCCTAGTCCCACAGACACCATAAAGAAAAACAGCCACTGCTGGTGGGCCGGCTTGGAGCAAAACCTGTAAGCAACATTAAAAAAACTGCGCGGTGGGTGGGCACCTTGATGACCTGTGGTCTCATTCAGCTGTGGGATCGTTTAACTGGGCTGGGACCCTTTGGACATGATATTCCTGTCTGGTAAGTGGAGAAGTTCGAGTCTAAATATGAGCTCCACATTCCCTTCCTGGTTGGAAGCTGTGTGTTCAAAATGTGCATTTCAGAAGGCAGAACCAGCCTACAGACATGTTTATTTTGGTGCCCACAGCGTTGTTGTTTTTTGTTTGTTTGTTTTAATCAAGACCACCTCTAGAAATCAAGGTGTTTATCTATGAAAATCTAGGTTCTCCACCTTCTTTTGAAAGCTAGAAGTATAGAGCACTTGCCCTATATTCTTACGCAGTTTTGGCTCAAAGGCGTGTGCCCGGGACACCCACCTATTTCTGTCACCATGCTAACTGGTCAGGCTTCCCAGGGGCCTTTGAGTCTGCAACCTTGGTTCTTTGATTGGATTTTACTATGAAGATCCTGCCTCATCTAAATTCCGAGTCTAGTCATCACGATGCCTGCAGAGGGCCTCGTTGGACTACAAACTGCAGGAGCCCTGAGGGAAGC